AGTAATAAAAAACGCAATAAATATAATTTGATTCTATCGATTTAATTCTTAATAATCGAAAGAGAGAAATTTTATTTTTGAGGTTGGTTAAATGTGAGATTGTTTTAAGGGGTAAACAGAAATATTTGCATACTTTTCTCGATGGTACAAATTCAGAAACGATAAAATCTATTGCAATTTGCCGTTTTTCAATGATATTTACTCTGTTAGCTTAAAATTAAGTCAGCAGGACCACAATTTTTTATAAATAAAACAAGGTACAAAATCATTTTTAATGGTACAAAATACTACACAATAAGTACTGAAAAATAAATTTGATTTGATTTTACTGATTTAATTATTAATAATCGAAGCAGAAAGGTTTATTCTTGAAGCTGAGGTCAAAGTTGAGGTTATTTTAAAGGGTCGGCAGAAATATTTTTGATACTTTTTTTTGGTGGTACAAATTGGTACAAATTCTGAAACGACAAAATCTACTATTTGTTTCGTTTTTTTAACAATTTTTATTTTGCTGACTTTATATTAAGTGAGTAGGACCACGATTTCTCTTAAAGGATATGGCATACAAAATTGTTTTTAATGGTACAAAATTACATTAATCGTGTAGTATTTTGTATTATCAAAAATGATTTTGTACCTTGTTTTATTTAAAAAAATATTATGGTCCTGCTGACTTAGTATAAAGAGAACAAAATGAAAACTGGTAAAAACCGACAGAAAACGATAGATTTTATTGTTTCTGAATTTGTACCAATTTGTACCACCAAAAAAAGTATCAAAAATATTTCTGCCGACCCTTTAAAATAACTTCAACTTTGACCTCAGCTTCAAGAATAAACCTTTCTGCTTCGATTATTAATAATTAAATCAGTAAAATCAAATCAAATTTATTGCATTTTTCAGTACTTATTGTATAGTATTTTATACCATTAAAAATGATTTTGTACCTTGTTTTATTTATAAAAAATTGTGGTCCTGCTGACTTAATTTTAAGCTAACAGAGTAAATATCATTGAAAAACGACAAATTGCAATAGATTTTATCGTTTCTAAATTTGTACCACCGAGAAAAGTATACAAATATTTCTGTTTACCCCTTAAAACAACCTCACATTTAACCAACCTCAAAAATAAAATTTCTCTCTTTCGATTATTAAGAATTAAATCGATAGAATCAAATTATATTTATTGCGTTTCTTATTACTCATTTTTATTACTATTTTGTACCATAGAAAATAATTTTGTACCCCGTACTATTTAAAAAAATATTGTGGTCCTGCTAACTTCATATAAAGAGAACAAAACTGGTAAAAAACGACAAGAAATGATAGATTTTATCGTTTTTGAATTTGTACCATCAAGAAAAAGTGAAAAAAAATCGTGATCCTGCTATCTTTATGTTAGGTTTAGATAAGGGAGGGGTTGTTTAAAGGGGAAAATATAAAATTTTTTATTTATTTCGTATGGTACAGATTAGTACAAATTCAGTACTAATTGTGTACCATGATTTATTTTTTTATTTTTTTTTGGTCCTGCTAGCTTGATATCAAGTTAGCAGCGCCACCATTTTTTTTAAAACGGCACGTGGTACAAATTTTTTTTTGTGGTACAAAATAGTACAAAATGAGTACTAAAAAATGCGATAGGTTCCATTCGATTCTGCTCATTTGGTCCTGCTAGCTTGAGAGAGGTGAGAAAGTTGTAAATGCAATTAATCGGTTTTTAAACTGCAATAAAATGCAAAAGTGCAAATTTTGATAATGTACTTTTTTCGTAAAAAATTAATGTCACCTTCACTTTTCCAAATGAAATCATACTTTTTTTTATCTGTAGTATTTTAAAGAAAATGAAAAGAATTCAAGAGTAACCCGTAATGTTATCTCAATTTCAACAACAAGCAATGTAATATAAGCATGCAGAAACGTAAATCAAAATATCCTAATTGATATAACATATAAAACTCTTTTACAAAGAGCGGAGCTTTATGTTACAGAAAATGGATTACATTTCGAATATATCCCCTGAGTACCTAACATTATTCATTACACTTTATTGCAAACATTACCATACCTTCTGCCTGTATTTATGATGAATATCCTATATATAGAAATCTACTAGATTATTTATTAACTTACTCTTTTGAAACACTATTTTGAAAAAAGTAAAGAACAAAAAGTACATTTACATTCGTAAATGACAAAAAAAATAAAATAAAAAATTTTTAATAAATTACTTTTCAATAAGTTAACTTTTGAAGTGAAAAAAATGTAGAAAAAAATCGAAACGAAAATTTATTCGAAGACTGCATATTTCTACCAGAGAATTCACACCCTGAATTATTGCACATAGTGGATGACTTTAAGCTACGTCTTAGGAAGAATATGAAGAATCGTCAATTACGTTTCAGCATGTCCGGGCGAAAATCGGAAGCTGCTGGTGCTGTTGAATCCGAAGTCCGGGTCCGGCAGAGGCAGGGAGACTTTCCAGAGAAGGATACATCCGATTCTGTCCGAGGCGGAGAGACCGTATGAGATTCACATTACTAAGCACGCTAATTACGCCCGCGAGTTCATACGCACAAGAGATATCTATCAGTGGAGCGGCCTGCTGATGGTCGGCGGCGACGGGATCGTCTTCGAGGTGGTGAACGGACTTTTTCAAAGACCGGACTGGGAGAAGGCTCTGCGCGAATTGCCGCTTGGTGTGATACCGTGCGGCTCCGGCAATGGCTTGGCGAAGTCCATCGCTCACGCTAAACAGTAAGACTTCATTACACAGAAAGAATATTATAGCTTTTCTTTTTGATAAATTTGTTTTACACATACTCATGTGACCATGTCGGCTGAGAAGAAATGGAAAAAATCGACGTACGTGGAAAGAATATTTAATCTCTTTTTTTTTACATAAATCAATTTTTTCAATTCTTTACCATGTTTTCTAGATTAAATCTTGCAGTATTAAAAATAGTTTTAAAATCTTAAATCTAATGTCTTTAAAGAGAATTTAATTTTATAGTAATGCAGAAATATAATTTGTCGGAAAAGTTGATCTTGTTGAGAAATATAATAAACTTTTTTAATAATAGATATTTCTGTTTTCCTAAAATATAAATAACACATATGAAGCGGAAGGAGAATAAGTTAAGGCAGAATGTCTATATGTTTCTTGGTTACAAGATTCTACATAGTAATTTGTAAATTTACTATAGAATTTCTAACAAAATTTACGAGGATTTTATAAAAATAATATAGAATTTTTGTAGAATTCGCATTTGAGAAAAAAATTCAATAGTATTTTATAAAGTTATCTCATAAAATTATATTTCACTTCTTTTCGATTAACATGATCGCATGAGTGTGTATATGTGTGTCTATAATTTATCATTTATAGAATAAATAAACGTAATAGCGGGGAAACGTAGGATTTCGACAGTTTGGTTCAATTATGCGTTCCGTTTTTTCGCGTAAGAGTCAAATATATTCATTATTCTGTATTTTAATGCGGGTTAGTCATCGTCAATCAGTCATCCCATAAAGTGTTTTGCTAACGTAGATGCAAGATATTAATCTGTTAATAGAATTGAGTAAAACATGAGTGACGCAAGCTATTACTTCGCGCGCAGAATTTTATCTAGTCTATTTTATTTATTACTCTTTTTTGCTTTCAGTAGCATAGTGATGTGTTCGCGTCGAATAACTGTGATATTTTTAGATGGATGTGACATTCCTGTTTTCTATTTTTTGCCAAACATGTGTTTTATCGTTCGTACGTTATTTGTGTATACCGGGTGTCTCAGACTCTTCTCCGCAATTTTTGTGGAAACGTAGAACGGATTGGGGCAAACATAAAAGTCCTATATCGTTTTTTGCATAATTTGCGCAATAATAGTCGAGGTATTAATTAAAGAAGATTAATGAGTGATCACATGCGATATAGTAAATGATGTGTAGTGACGATATGTGCTATTGTGTACTTGTATATCAGGTCAAATTGAATAAAAAAGTCCTTTATCATTTGGCAAATAACCACATAGATTTTTAGTTAGAAAAGAAAATTGATACATGATTGTGCGCGATAATGCACAAATTTTCTTTAATTAATACTTAAAAATCTATGTAATCACTTGCAAAATAGTAGAGAACTCTCAGAATAGTAGAGAATGATTATTTACTAATTTTCTTTAATTAATATTTCGAGATTTATTGCGAATATCGCAAAGTATGGGTTTATTATATTTACCTCAACTTTCCCATAAAAATTGCGAAGAAGAGCCTGGGACACGCCGTATAACGCATATCAATAATTCTCGCATTTGAATGAGCATGCGACCTTGCCTCAGCTTAATTCAGGCTTCAGAGGAGATCAAAGAAACTAGAGAACCTATAAACTATAGAACTATAACCTTCATAAGAGAGATTCACTTCTCTCCCTTTTCCTCTCTCTCCCTCTTTCTCCCTCTCTCTCTCTTTGAATAATAAATCAATACGATCATTCTGAATGAGTTACGTTACTATTCACTAGAATGCTCGGAAACGACAAACGACAAACTGGATGCTGGAAGGAGCATTTGACTCCTGTGATTCTAATATTTTTAAAGCATTCTCTTTGTTTCTTATTAATTGTATCAATGATGACTTTGGAACATGCTAAGAATATAATTTATGAAATATATATATTTTATATATTGCAAACAAATTACAAACATTTTTATAATTTTTCCAAATTTTCTATTATAAGATGCTTCATAATTATTCAATATTTATTTGTCTTTTATAATTAGTACATGCAAAAAATATTAAAATATAAAATATGTAAATAGTAAATATTACGTTAAAATTATATTCATTTTTATAATGTTATTTTGTAAAGCTGACTTGATATTTTATAGTATAAATTACTATAAAAATAATAAAGAAGAATACTAAAAAAATAAGTCACACACGGAATCTTAACTAATTACTGGAAACTGTTTTTGGGATCTTCTAGAAACAGAAAATCGCAATTATTTATGCACCAGGTTCAGGGAAAGTTATGAAAATTGTTATTTATTATTAATTGTTTAAATAGTTATATGAAAGATTTTTTTAAGCTTTGTACGTCTTGATATGTCTTTAAAATAAAATCAATTGCACATTTATGTCTTAAGAGATGAGTCGTAAACTTAGAAAAATTTTCTTATTTTGTTTATACTATGTTTATGTGTTGTATATGCAGAGGGATTCGAGAGAAAAAACTACTATTATTTATATTTTTTAATCTTTACCTAACAAATTATTTGTTTAACATTTTAGAGAGATAAAAGAAAGTAAAATCAGGGAGAGGTCGCGATGCCGAAATTATATTTATCTAATTTCTTCGTAACGGGCATACCATGTACATAATATATTAGGTGTGCAAATTAATTCGGTGCGTTAACTTTAATTAATTATAACGACGTGTTAACCCTTTAAGTCATGATGTATCATATATGATACACTTATTTTGGCTGCGTTCAGATGGTTCGCTGTTGCGCTACGAGACTAACGCTATAAACATCGTTCGGGGAGCCAATAGCGCGATAGCGTTCGCGTGCTATTCGAACGCGTTGAACTAATAGCGATAGCGAACTCGTTGACACGTTGTGAGATGCTAATGCTCAATTGCGATTACAAGTTTAATACGAATGGAGAAAATATTGATCTCCGTTGCAACAAGCTATAATTAAGAATGGTATTGTTGCAATACCATTAATTGCGGGAACTTGTTGATTTCTTGTCGTCAGAAAGTGATGACGATGAAATAGAACACGCTAGGCACATGGCGGATAGCATATAATGGTTGCGTTCGGGGAGACGCTATTTAGCGCTATGAGTGTGCTCTGTCCTTGCTTATTCATAAAAAGTTAAACAAGGACAGAAGACGCTCATAACGCTAAATAGCGTCTCCCCGAACGCAGCCAATATAAGTGGAAATGCATATAGCGCATGTATACTTTCACAATTCAATAGAACGAAAACATAAGGTCTGTTTAAAATAGACTCATAATTGTTCGCGTAGCGAATTAAGAACGCTATGAGCGCTATGAGCGCTCGGCGCCTCGCCTCGAAAATGATAGCGAAAAATAGCGCGAGTGATGACGTCACACTACTTTTAGGCTGCGTTCGGATTTCACTATCGCGCTACGAGATGCTAACGCTATAAACACCGTTCGGGGAGCCGATAGCGTTAGATTTGCTATCCAAACGCGTCGGGCTAATAGCGATAGCGTTCGGAGAGTTCGTTGACACGCTATGAGACGCTAATGCTCAATTGCGATTGCAAGTTTAATAGGAATGGAGAAAATATTGATCTTGCAATAAGCTATAATTAAGAATGATATTGTTGCAATTTTCCGGGAACCTGTTGACTTCTCGTTGTCAAAAAGTGATGATGCTGAAGTGAAATATGCTATCTATACAGCAGAAATGTCTCGAAAATATCATAGGAATATTCTACAGATATTGATATCTTTATAATATCCTTGTGATGTATTCGGGACATTTCTGCTGTGTGGGTATGCACGTGGCGAATAGCATATAATATAAGCCGAAATATATATAACACATGTATACTTTTGCAACTCGACGGGACGAAAACATAAGGTCTGTTTAAAATAGACTCATAATTATTCGCGTACACTGAGGGAAATGTCTGATGATACTAACCAGAATTCTATTTAGGTTTACCAAACAGTATGGTGAATAATCGTGTAACAAGATATTTAGTCAATGATACTAAACTATCTGGTGAGCGCATTGTCTAAGTAGCATTACAGTGATGCTTAAATATGTTTACTAAACCATCTGGTACAGCATATAATTCATTTGGTGAATGTTTTATATATATATATATATATAATATATATATATATATATATATATATATATATATATATATACAGTTATATATATAATTTTCATATACTTACTGCATATAATCTTCATATACTTACTTCTAAATTTGTCGACATATTTTAAGAAATTCCATTCTTCCAAATATCTGACGGTTTTAGCGTCCATTCTTTTAGCATCGAGTCTTTACAAATTAGTATAGATGAAAAAGGAAACGTTGCAGCGAGTAACAATTAACTATCGCATCTATAGTACCACACGTTTAGAGAGAATTACCAAACTGTCTAGATGCCTACAACTAAATGTCTCGGTATCGACTATCAGATGAGGCATCGTAATCAGAATATTGGATATGTGAACCAGATATCACATATAAATTCACCCTATTACTTTCATAAGACGAGTATAGAGTCATTCACCAAGCCATTTCTCTCAATGTAGCGAACTAAGAACGCTATGAGCGCTATGAGCGTTCGGCGCCTCACCTCGAGAATGATAGCGAAAAATAGCGCGAGTGATGACGTCACGTTACTTTTAGAGCGACGTCATTATCGGTTTCATAGTGACAAAAAGCGTCTCCTCGAACAGCCAAAGCGCGCTCATAGCATTAAATAGCGTCTTCCCAAACGCAATTTTTAGAGCAGTTTTTACGAATTTAAACTAATTTCTAGAGATTTCGAGGCGGTAAATGTGTATTTATTGTGAAGCTTAGATGTTTATCTAACAGAATCATCTGCATAGAATTAAATTTTGCAAATTTAATTATTCATAAACAAATTAATGTAAATTATTGGTATTTAAAAAAATTCATTTGCCAAAAATATTGCAAAGTACACGTATGGAAAAAATGGCTTGGTTGATGCTTTTTGAGCTGTAGATGATGACGCCTCAAAAATTTCAAAAATTCAAGACGGCAAACTCAATATGGCGAGCTAAAATACCAAAAATCGCTAAAATACCAAAATAAGTTATATTTCTTTTCGTAAATGAGTGAAGTTGAGTCTGTGAATAGTTGAGTCTTGAATTTCAAAAAGATGATTTTGAATTCGTGATCAGCGATGCAAAAAATCTTTGGGATAGCGCAGGATAGCGATACCAATTTTCATGAAAATCCAGTGTTTAAAATTGTCGTTTATCATATTGGATCCGCCATCTTGAATTTTCAAAAACTGACATCAAATTCGTAATTAGTGACCTCAAAAACCTCCAGATATCGATTGAACAAAGGAAAAAGTTTTGCAGAAAAATTCGTGATTTAAAGAGTTGAATTCAAATATCTTCTCGTTGTTCAGTAGGTTTTGAAGTGCTAATTTTAAAGGAGGATGTCGGAAAAGTGCGATTTTTTACCTCGAGTCGCAAGTAAAATTCGAGTTGCATTAGATCACATATATCTTGAATAATTGTAAAAACCATAGTGGTTTTTCTTGGAAATTCAGGGAACATCTAAAAATCACCACATGTTTGGGGAAAATCACGTAAATCAAGAATCACACAATAAATCATAGTTGCTTTATTTTTCAACCGAAGATTCATATATAAATAAAGGTAATATCGAATTTCTAAGATCAATTATTACGGTTTTGATGTTATGAATCGAATACATAACATATTAGGGTTTCAAATTAGTGGATCTAATATGGAAAACTTGGATTCATAGTCCTTCATAAAACAATTGATATGAAAATGTTATAATTAAAGAGGATGTAAAATAATTGAGTTGAGAATCTTCAGTATAAATGAGGATGATACTGGAAAAAAGGCATAAAATCCAAGATGGTCAATTCAATATAGCGGACATTAAATGGAAAATCCAGAGCGCACTTTGTGTGTGTATGTTTATCATATACAAAAATGACTTTTTAACATTCTTCTTTGATGATCTATTTGATGTATGATATAAAAACAATTGAAGTAATCGCAATAATGTTATAGTAAAAAGACAAACATGCATAACATTTTTAAGTAAATAGAAATTTTGTCCATAATTTTGTATGGTGTAATATTAAAAAATGTTGTTATCATTTCTATTACAATGTTTTCTCATGTGTTGTGCAAAAAGATTGCTGAATGTGTTGTGCAAAAAGATTGCTGAATGAACACAGAACAAATTATAAACTTCATCGAGTTTAAAAAACTAAAATCTTAAGTAATAGTTTATATATACTGTCCTTATAACATTGACGATGAAATAGTCAAAATTACTCTCTTATATATCCAAGGTAGATCATAAAATAATTCATCTCAATATTATCGATCTCTCCCGTTATTTTACTGTATTCTACTTTAAAAATAATTAAAAGCCGCGAACAATTTTTTTCCTGAATCACAAGAAACAAAAATGACAATAGCAAGAAGATCTTAAATAAGTTAAAGTTAAAGTGACTTCATCAGGTATTCTAGTGTTAATCTTTTGATAGTTTTGGGTACTTGAGAGGTGTTGAGCCACTTTATTTTTATACAGCACAAAGTGAGGATCAGAGTAATACGTGATTATTTTTTTGTGCTATCTTTCTTTACTCTCTTTCTTTTTAGAACAGTGCACGCCTGTTGCCCACAGGATCAACATCAGAACCGTAGAAGACAATCATATTTATACGAATTTTATTTAGTATGTTTGGATTCTTTTCTGGTATAACTCGTGGTTATCTCTGTTAAAAAAAAAAACCACGACTAGCGGAATTATCTATCAACTACTGTTTCAAATTTTTATTCAATAAAGTGTCACTCATTTCACAATGTAGACATTGTAAATTTTGTAAAGTTTTATCTTGTTTTGTCCAGTGGAAGAATTTTACTATTAAAAAACGAATTCTTCTATTGGACAAGACGGAGAGTCCATAAACAAAATAAAAAATTATGGACAAATCTTTCTGTCTACGACTCTGCAGTAACATAAAAAATTGCTGAATTGAAAAATACGTGTATTAAAATATTCAAATAAATAAACAATTGGGAAGAATGAATTCAAAAAATTATATGAATGTAAAATATGAAAAAAACACCAATTAAAAAATATGTAATTGTCTTGCAAAATAGTTTATGAACGAATTTTTACTCATTATTCTCTAAAGATTCTAATAGAATAGCGGGAGAAATCTAGCAGTCCCTAAATAAAATTAATTGTGATTAGTGACAATCCGAACGTATAATTGATAATATTATCTCCGGAGAATTTTATTTTCCTTTCTTTCCGTCTTCGTCTCTTCCTAATGTCGAAATATCGTGGAAAACATGTTTTTCGCATTTTATTTTTTTTCAGCCGTTATTATAGATATCAGTATGAAGTTAAGATCGTTTATAGATATCGATCTGTATTTAGAACGCGCTTACAACAGTGTTGGCGCACTGACAAGTAGCTTAGAAGCCATTCGATTGATTGAAAACGACTTGTCAGTGTGCTAACATCGTTGTAAGCGCGTTTTGAATATGGGCCATCATTTATTAGACAGAAAAAAGGTAGGATCATATTATAGATATGATCCTACCTATGAGCTTAGGATCATTTCATAGATCATTAGAAAAATTAAGTACATTTCTTTTTTTTAAGAATTTTCTACGAAAAAATTCAAATGGCAGAATCTCTTAAAATATTCAAAACTTTTCTTTTGGCGCTTCTTACAAATAAATAAATAAAGATATATTTATATTTATATTATAATATGTATATGTATATATATATATATATATATTTATTTATTTATTTATTTATTTATAAGAGCGCTAAAAGAGAATTTTTGAATATTTTAAGGGATTCTGCCATTTAAATTTATATATATAAGAAGTGTCATCCCCGAAAAATTTATAATATATATTGTAAAAGCTTACTTCCCTAATATCTTTTAGACTTTTTCAAACACAATGTCATATTAAAAGAAATTAAAACGAATTTTTTAATTTTTTTTTAATTTGACGAGATTCAAAACGAGAATAAAAATTTTTTGATTGTTTTAATAATTTTACTTTGTCTCAAAGCGTATTGAATAGAAAAACTTTGTTGCAACGTTTTCGCCGGCTGTACTAGGCTATATGAAAGAAAAAATATTCATCTATTCTTTTACAGTTGGCTGCGCTCCGAATTGAATTGTAAAACTGTTCAAAATAAAGTTTAAAACAAAATATAATACGAATGAAAGATATCGGACCAATTTAATACGTCATCGTTTACATACGCACCATCTAAATAAAGATAATTTACTATAAAATTACTAATTGATACGCGCGCATATTAAACGGTGTAAACAATGTCAGTGGTAAATAAATTGCGCCGCCTCCCGACCTCCATTGTAACAATCAAACAAGACTGTTTTCGTGCACGAAAAAAGAGAATAGAATAATGTTTCAGGGAGCCATACGACCGCAATCCTACGCTGATCAGCGCGCTGTCAGCGGTCAAGAGTAAGAGAATGCCGATGGATTTGGTGCGCGTGGAGACCAGGAATCAAATTCTCTTCTCGTTTCTCTCGGTGGGCTGGGGCCTCATAGCTGACATAGACATTGAGAGCGAACGGCTGCGTGCGATCGGAGGCCAAAGATTCACCGTGTGGAGTGTGGCGCGCTTGATAGGATTGAGAACGTACAAGGGCAAGATATCGTATGTGCCTTGCAACAACAGGGTATCGCCGATGGAGAACGGAAACGGCAAGATCTGTCGCAAGGAGTGCGCCACGGAAAGCACGTTGTCACATTCGCGGAGTTATGGTGATGAGCTGGACAGGTATGGGCATTTAGTGGTCTCGAATAAATATATTATCTGCTCAGTGACTGACACAAGTGCGCAAAATAGCGTCCTCGTACAGCAAGAAGTTTATCATTATATAAAAGAAGTCATTGGATATCATGAAAATTGTCATGATATATTGACTTAATATTGCTATTTATTTTATTAGGAGTAAAAATTTTGACTGAAAATATGGCGTAATAAATTGACATCACTTAAAACAAATATATTATAAACACGTTGTGCTGTCACAATAGCAGTATAAAATATACATTAAATGTTTGCATGATATGTTCAGCATCTTGGTTTACATCTGGAATGCTTCGATTTTTTGATTGTTTTAATAATTTTACTTTGTCCGAATGCCCGAGTATATTTGTATGCAATTAATTCAATGTTAATTTCATTAAACGTTACATAATTTCATTAAACCTGATCATTGATTCTTCTACATCGAGAGAATTTTATGTATATAGCAACAATTACTATAGAATTTTATAGTCGAAAAACATATCGACATTCTGTTAATTTGTTATTACTTCGTTTGATATGTGCTATTTACATGTTTAAGAAGTAAATTTTACTTTTAAAAAACTTATTATATTCCTCAACGAGATAAACTCTACTGACAGTGCATTCCTGCACTACTAAAAAACAAATGGTAAAGTTAAGCAGAATTTATTAGGTGGTAAACTTAGTTCCTGCGTTTTTTTTGTTTAAAAAACTCATTTATTTCGACATCAAAAGCAAAAAATACATTAATCGAAGTATTTTCCCTCGCTAGTTATACATTTTTCCCATCTTTCGGGCAACGCGTAGATTCCGCGACGATAGAACGATTGGTCTTTTGATGCAATCCATTCGTCGATCTATTTTCGCACATCCTCGTAATTTCTGAGGTGTGTATCCACCAAGCCGTGCTGCATCGACCGGAACAAGTAATAGTCCGAAGGAGCTAAGTCTGGTGAATACGCTGGGTGCGGGAGAACTTCCCACTCGAGCTGCATCAGTGTTTCTTTGACGGCTTTGGCAACGTGTGGTCGAGCGTTGTCGTGCAAAAGCATGACTTTACGTCGATTGCTGGCTACTGCTGGCCTTTTTTCCAACAATGCTTCATTCAGACGGTTTAATTGTGATTGATATCGATCCCCCGTGATA